ACTGTGACAGAGGCGGAGAGTTCTGATCAGGCCTTCTGTGAGCCTACTGCCGTGCGCGAGGCATCCCCCAGACCTTTATGCTTCCGGAATCTCCACAGCAAAATGGGATTGCTGAGCGCCGCATTGGCATGGTCATGGACGTCGCTCGTACGTCCAATGATGCATGCGGCTGCCCCCCATTTTCTGTGGCCATTTGCGGTTCGGTACACGGCGCATCAGATCAACTTCACCCCAGGGTCTCCATGCCGGAACACCTCCCCAGCTTTGCTGTGGACGGGGAAGGTAGGCGATGCGTCTGCGTTCCGTGTCCTGGGGATCTTGTGCGTTTGTCCGCGACTTGTCTGCGGACAAGCTGTCCCCTCGTGCTGCTCCTTGTGTCTTCCTTGGCTTCCCCCCTGATGCGCCAGGGTGGTGGTTCTACCACCCCACCTCTCGTCGTGTTGTGTCCTCTCACGACGTCACGTTTGATGAGTCGGTCCCCTACTACCACCTCTTCCCCCTACCGCACTCCTTCCCTCCCCCCGCCACCGCTCTTCCTTGTGCCAGGTCCCCCCCGGTAGACCCCCTCCCCCGTTAGGGTCCTGCCCCTTCAGGTGTGTCACAGGTAGAAGCAGTGGAGCCAGTCGAGGTTAGTGGTGACTCTGGTGCTTTTGTAGGTGCTGAGCCTGGGGGTGCTGACTCTGGGGGTGCTGCGCGAAGTGGGTAGTACGCCTGGGGGTGCTGTGCCTTCGGGTGGTACTGCTGGGGGTGCTGAGCTTGGGGGTGCTGCGCCTGGGGGTGCTGAGGCCTGGGGGTGCTACGCCTGGGGGTGCTGAGCCTAGGGTGCTACGCCTGGGGGTGCTGAGCCTGGAGGTCCTACGTCTGGAGGTGCTGAGCCTGGGTGTGCCACGTCTAGAGCTGCTGAGCCTGGGGGTGCGGAGCCGGCGGCGCTGGGCCTGCTCGTGTGGCGTCTGGCGGTGCTGGGCCTGGAGGTCTCCGGGTTCTTTGTCTCGGCGGGAGCCACTCTCTTCACAGGAGCTGCATGAGTTGTTTGCCCGGCGCTAGAGGCGTACTGCTGGAGCTTCTTCGGCTGCTGAGGGTGCAGGTGCCGCGAGTACTGGAGCGTCTAGGCCTGCGGGTTTGCCTGGAGCTGGAGCTACTGAGGGTGTTGGCGCTAAGGCTATTGCTGTCAGTCCTGAAGGCGGTTCTGCTGGGGGTGCTGCAGGAGGTGCTACTGGCTCTAGTCCTGCTGTGCGTGCTGCTGGTCCTACTGGAGGTCTTGCAGCTGGCGGTGTTTTTGGCGCTGGTGCTCTCCCTGCTGTGTCTCGAGTCGCCGCGCGGCCTCGGCCGTACTTCGTTCCGCTCCTTCAGCAGGTTCTTGGTCTTCCTCCTCCCTTAAAGTGTCCACCGCCTGTCCAGTCCCAGTCATCGCTACCGCCGGCCTCCCCACTGCCTGCTCCTTCTCCCTACACTGGTCCCTACTGGAGGTCTTGCTGAGCGTTGTGAGCCTGCGTCTCGTCTTGCGTTGCCTGTTTGTGCTGCTCGCACTAGTGGTCGCGGTTCGCATCACTGTCCTCCTCCTGTCCCTGGCATGCATCGGATGTCTTTGCATCTGTTCACTGCTCCTCTGCATGCCCCTTTGCCTTCTCCTCTTGAGGACTCTCTTCCTGCACTTGCCGACCCGGAGTCGGACTCTCTTCGTGCTGCCAGTCCTACTATCACGCGTCTCCTTGCTACTGTCGTCGCTGACCCCTCTTTTGAGTCCAATGCTGCGTCTGCTCTTGTTGCTGAGCTCGTCGACTTTGCTGCTCGCTGTCGTCTAGACTACGCTGCTAGTCTTGTTGCTAAGTCTGCATCTGTCTGTCCTCCGTCCGTCTAGGGTGAGTGTGCTCTTGGCACGGACGTCCTTGAGGACAGGGAGGAGGAGTTACAGTGTCTGGCTGCCGCTTCACATCATCTCGTGTCCGTATTGCTTACCCCTGAGAGAGACCCGGATGCACTTATGCGGAGGCCGTAGAGGGTCCCTACTCCTCTCAGTGGCAGGCAGCTATGGATGCAGAAATGGCTTCCTGGAAGTCCACAACCACCTACGTTGATGCAGTTCCCCCTCCTGGGGCGAACATCGTCAGTGGCATGTGGATCTTCAGGGTGAAGCGGCCGCCAGGTTCTCCACCTGTCTTCGTGATACGTCGCTCGTGGCTTCAGTAAGCGGCAGGGAGTTGACTACTTTCAGACCTTCTCTCCCACCCCAAAGATGACCTCTCTTCGGGTGCTGCTACACATAGCCGCTCAGCGTGACTATGAGCTTCACTCCTTTTACTTTAGCAGTGCTTTCTTGCAGGGTAGCCTGCACGAGGAGATCTGACTGCGCCATCCACCTGGCTTTAGTGGGACTTTCCCTCTTGGCACCCAGTAGAGCCTCCGACGGCCAGTCTACGGTCTCCGCCAGGCACCGCCGCGAGTGGCACGACACACTGAGGACTACGCTTGCGGCTCTTGGGTCTGCTCCCTCTACTGCTGACCCGTCGCTGTTTCTGCGCACCAACACCTCTTTGCCGCCATTCTACATCCTCGTGTACGTCGACGACTTGGTCTTTGCCACAGCTGACACTGCTGGACTCGCCCACGTGAAGTCCGAGCTGCAGAAGAGACACACGTGCACAGACCTGGGTGAACTGCGCAGCTACCTTGGCTTGCAGATCACCCGGGACAGAGCACGTCGCACCATTACCCTGACACAGTCACACATGGTGCAGCAGGTCCTTCAGCGCTTCGGCTTCACGTACTCCTCGCCTCAGGCCACTCCTCTGCGTACTCGCCACTCGCTCTCAGCTCTGCCTTCGGATGAGTCCGTAGAGTCGAATGGCCCGTACCCATAGCTTGTTGGCTGCCTCATGTACCTGATGACCTGCACACCACCTGACCTCGCATACCCTCTTAGCATTCTTGCACGCTATGTTGCTCTTGGGAGACACAGACTAGAGCACATGGCTGCAGCGAAGAGGGTGTTGCGCTACTTGTGCAGTACGTCGGGCATGGGGCTAGTGCTTGGAGGGCAGAGTCTAGTGGTCTTCACTGGGCACGCAGACGCTTCTTGGGCTGACGACCAGGCTATAGAGCGGTCGTCAAAAGGTTACACCTCCAGCCTTGGTTCCGGCTCTGTTTCGTGGCGGGCTACTCGCTCGTCTTCTGTTCTCCGCTCCAGTTGTGAGGCTGAAATCTACGCCGGAGCCATGGCTGCTCAGGAGCTTCGCTGGCTCACCTACCTGCTGAGTGACCTCAGAGAGCCGCCTCGTTCTCCTCCAGTGCTGTACGTAGACAACAAGGCCATGCTGACCTTGTGTCGGGAGCAGCGCCTGGAGCACAGAACGAAGCACATTGCTCTCCGCTACTTTCTTGCTCGTGAGCTGCAGCAACGTGGTCAGTTGTGACTTGCGTACATGGCCTCTGAGGCCAACACTGCTGATATCTTCACTAAGGCACTTGCGCCTTGTGATCGTAAGCACTTCTGCACTCAGCTTGATCTTGTGCCTGTCTTGCCTCACTTACTCACTTCTTGACCTTGCTTGTACTATGATATATATATATGTACTCCTGCTCTTGCTTGTTTAGCCTGTTATATTTATATATGTGTTCGTGCATGTGAACTGGCCTTCTGGCCTTGAACTTGTGCTCGGAATGTGTGGTGACTTTGTGATCCACCCTGAGCTTTTTTTTGTTTTGCTTGACTGGTCTTGTGACCCCACTTTGCCAATGGGGGATGTGTCAAATTATTATGTTGTGTAGGCGATAGTGGGGTAGCCTATATGGGGTACACATTTCTAGGGTTGCATATTTGTATCACTTTCATTCCTTAGTCAGTCATTCTCATTTCAGTTTTCTCATACAATTCTAATATACACCAATTCAAACGGCATGCAAAATATCTTTGGCAAGCCATTGTCCAGCCTGGCACTAGTGGTTACTCCGCTCACGTGTGGCAGCATGTGCAATTTCACCTCCGAATCACCCTACACAAATCACAACTTGTGCCAACGCCATCAAAATAGTATACTAATCTGCAACTAGTGTGTCGTCAGACACAGCTGACAGACCGCGATAAGTGCCGGGGCCATGGCACGTGGCGTGCTACGTCCTGATGTGGATAAAGGCCGCGGCCTGAAAGACGAGCACCTCATATGATTTACGGCAATGTGCACAAGGGCATGATGTCCCGAATATCTTACCTTTTTGTCTGTGAAGGGTGTTTTCGCTAGTTCCGGCATCGTGGCGCCCTAGTCGCCCACAAGCTACACAACGGCGCGTGGAGGCTACGTTGAGCACGCTGGCTTCGTTTCTATCGTCACCATTCACCGAGCAACAGGGACGAGTACGATTCGGATGACTACGCGCGCTCTGACAACAGCAGCAACTAGAACGCAGAACGTGCCAATTCTGACATGGATGCACCCTTGTCACCGCAGGTAAGCCTAGTTTTAATACTGTGCGCATCTTTGTAGTTCGACATGTTATAGTGTATATTGCATTGCGTGTGTTCCTACCTACTTAATGCGCATTCTGCGACAGAGTACCACACAACCTCAAGAGGACTACAATGCACGTCTTGCTGTGCGTCGCCACTTGCTTACCACTGAGCGCGCACACTTTATTAGTACAAGAGTGCTCAGACCTTGTACGACGCCGTAGTTGCGCGCTACTCTTCCCCTGCCACTGCTGCACTGAGCCGCCTCATGCTACCGTACCTCTTCCCTGACCTTGCTGCCTTTCCCACAGTCGCTGACCTCATTACGCACCTCCGCACTAGTGACACTCGCTACCCGCGCTGCGCTTCCTGCTGAGTTCTGCACCAAGAACCCCCCCCCCCCCCCCCCCCCCCCCCCCCCCCCCCCCCCCCCCCCCCCATGTACATCACTCTCTGTTACATAGTCACCCGCCTCCGTGACTCCCTTCGTGTAGTCAGAGACCACTTCTTCTCAGTCTGTCTCACCACTCTCACTGTAGACCTCCTCGAGAAGGCCCTCCTAGCAGCGGAAAAGAGCATAGTCACTGTAGGAGCCTCTCATGGTGACCCTCGCACCCCCATCTTTGAGGGCTGCTCCCCTTCCCCCCTTTTGCCCTCTGTCGCCTCTACTGCTACGACCCACATTGTTGGTCTTGAGTCGGTCGGTGCGGCGTCTGCCCCTAGCGAGAGACGCTGATTTGGCAAGGGCAAGGGGGGCAAGGGCGCAAGAGGAGCTAGTGGGGGTGGTGAAGGCGGTGGTGGAGGCGGCGGAGGGAGTGGGGGTGGCGGTGGGAGTGGTGGCGGGGGTGGAGGTGTCGGTGGCAGCGGTGGAGGCGGAGGCGGCGGCGGCAGTAGCGGTGGGGGCGGAGGTGGCGGTGGTGGCGGAGGTGGAGGAGGCAGTGGTGGAGGAGGTGGAGCTGGTCGGGGTGGCGCTACGCAGCGGAGCGGCTCCGGTGGTGGTCAGCACCAGCAGCAGCAGCGTTCTCGGGACATTCCCCCACCTCAGCAGCTCCGTGAGTGGTACGATGTACGTCAGCGTGATGGGGGTTTTGGTCTGTGCACCTACGTCCTACCACCGGCGACCGTGCGGGTCAGCAGTGTGGGGGTGCACACCCCACCCAGCGCTGCTTTGGCCGATTGATGGACACTTGGCGTCATCAGTTCCTGGAGGCCATTGAGATCACCCGCTGGGGTGAGCTGTCTAGGGCGAGTGTAGCTATCTTTGATTTTGACTTTGATGCTATTCTTGCTGCCATGTATGCTGTGACTATTAGTGATGAGGGTGACTGTTACCGGTGTTTCCCGCCCGACCCGAGCATTGAGATTGCTGCTCTAGGTACTGGTGAGGCTGCTGCTCTAGGTGCCTGTGAGTCTGCTGCTCTAGGTGCCAGTGCGTCTGCATCCTCAGGTGCTGGTGAGTCTGCGCTCTCAGGTACCGCGTCGGCTTCGGCCTCCCTCACCTTCACACTTGACTCAGGGGCTTCCCGCTCCTGAGCCCGCACCACACTCACGCCGCTTGGTCGGCCGGTTGCAGTCTCCCTGGCAGACCCTTCTGGGGGCCTTGTCCTTTCTCACTTCTCCACTGTCCTCCCGTGTCCGGCTGCCCCCTTTGGCACCTTGTCTGGTCTTTACCTCCCCTCGTTCTCTACAAACTTGGCGACTGGTGCTGACCTACAGGATGCGGGGGTTCACCAGTTTACTCCTTCGAGTCAGCAGGTGACCCACTACTCGGACGCCCGCACAGGCAGGCACCTGGCCACATTTACGCGTCGGCCGGGGTCGAGCCTATACACCTTGACCACTGAGTCTCCTCCTGTCCCTGCGTGTGGTCAGGTAGCTGCGTTGGGTCAAGTGCTTGCTGCAGCGTCCAGGTCTGGTCATGAGTCTGCCCCCTGCTTGTGTCACCTCCTGTCTCACGAGACTCTCCTGTGGCACCACCGCCTTGGTCACCCCTCCCTGCCTCGTCTCCGAGGCATGGCCTCCCGTGTCCTTGTCTCTGGTCTTCCCCGGTTCCTCCCTCCCCTTCCTCTGGGACCTGGCCCTTCCTGCGTCCCTTGCGTCAAGGGGCGGCTTCGGGCTGCCCCTCACTCTTCTCAGTTTCCCCCGACAGTGGCCCCGCTGCAGACGCTTCACATGGCCGTGTGGGGCCCGGCCCGCGTCCGTGGACAGGGTCACAAGCGCTACTTTCTGCTGGTGGTTGACGACTACTCGCGTTACACCACAGTCTTCCCCTTGCGCAGCAAGGGTGATGTCATTGAGGTGTTGATCGACTGGATCCGCGCAGCTCATCTCCAGCTCAGGAGGAGCTTCGGCTCAGACTTTCTTGTTCTGCGTCTGCACTCTGACCGAGGCGGAGAGTTCTCCTCTGGCCTTCTGCGAGCCTACTGTCGTGCACGAGGCATCCGCCAGACCTTTACGCTTCCGGACTCTCCAAAGCAAAATGGGATTGCTGAGCGCCGCATTGGCATGGTTATGGTCATCGCTCGTACGTCCATGATGCATGCAGCCGCCCCCCATTTTTTGTGGCCGTTTGCGGTCCGGTACACGGCGCATCAGATCAACCTTCACCCTAGGGTCTCCATGCCGGAGACCTCCTCAGCTTTGCTGTGGACGGGGAAGGTAGGCGATGCGTCTGCGTTCCGTGTCTGGGGATCTCGGGCGTTTGTCCGCGACTTGTCTGCGGACAAAATGTCCCCTTGTGCTGCTCCTTGTGTCTTCCTTGGCTTCCCCCTGATGCGCAAGGGTGGCAGTTCTACCACCCCACCTCTCGTCGTGTTGTGTCCTCCCAGGATGTCACGTTTAACGAGTTGGTCCCCTACTACCGCCTCTTCCCCTACCGCACTCAATCCCTCCCCCCGCCACTGCTCTTCGTTGTGCCAGGTCCCCCTCCGGTAGACCCCCTCCCCCCTTAGGGTCATGCCCCTTCAAGTGTTGCCCAAGTAGACGCAGTCGAGCCTGTTGAGGTTACTGGTGACTCTGGTGCTGCTGGGGGTGTTGAGTCTGGGGGTGCTGAACCTTGGGGTGCTAAGCCCGGGGGTGCTGAGCCTGGGGGTGCTGAGCCTGGGGGTGTTGCGCCTAGGGGTGTTGAGCCTGGGGGTGCTGAGCTTGGAGGTGCTACGCCTGGGGGTGCTGAGCGTGGGGGTGCTACGTCTGGAGGTGCTGAGCCTGGGGGTGACACGTTTGGAGTTGCTGAGCCTGGGGGTGCGCAGTCTGCGGCCCTTGGGCCTGCTCGTGTGGCGTCTGGTGATGCTGGGCCTGGAGGTTCTCCGGGTGCTTTGTCTCGGCGAGAGCCACTCTCTTCACAGGAGCTGCGTGAGTAGTTTGCCCGTCGCTGGAGCTTCTTCGGCTGCTAAGGGTGCTGGTGCCGCCGTTCACAGAGCTACAAGTCCTGGGAGTCCTTGAGCTGCTGGGCCTACGGGTCCGAGTGGAGCTGGAGCTGCCGATTGTGTTGGCGCTGAGGCTACTATTGTTTGTCCTGGCGGTGATCGTGCTGCGGGTGCTGCTGGTGTTGCTGGAGGTACTGCTGCTGGAGGTGCTGTTGGCGCTAGTGCTACCGCTGAGGGTGCTGGTGCTATCCCTGCTTTATCTGGAGTTGCCGCGCGGCCTTGGCCGTACTTTGTTCCGCTCCTTCAGCAAGCTCTTGGCCTTCCTCCTCCCTTAGAGTGTCAACCGCCTGTCCACTCACAGTCACAGTTACCGCCGGCCTCCCCACTGCCTGCTCCTTCTCCGTACACTGGTCCTAATGGAGGTCTTGCTGAGCGTCGTGAGCCTGCGTCTCGTCCTGCGTCGCCTGTTCGTGCTGCTCGCACTAGTGGTCGCGGTTCCCGTCAGCGTCCTCCTCCTGTCCCTGGCACGCACCGAATGTCTCTACGTCCGTCCACTACTCCTCCACGTGCCCCTTTGCCTTCTCCTCCTGAGTCCTCTCTTCCTACACTTGCCGACCCGGAGTTAGACTATCTTCGTGCTGCCAGTCCTACTGTCATGCGTCTCCTTGCTATTGTCGTCACTGACCCCACCTTTGAGTCCACTGCTGCGTGTGCTCTAGTTGCTGAGCTCGTCGACTTTGCTGCTCGTTGTCGTCTAGACTATGCAGCTAGTTTTGTTGCCGAGTCTGCGTCTGTCTGTCCTCCGTCCGTCGAAAGTGAGTGTGCTCTTGGCACGGACGTCCTTGAGGACAGGCAGGAGGAGTTCCAGTGTCTGGCTGCTGCTTCACCTCATCTCGTGTCCGTACTGCTTACCCCTAAGGGAGACCCGAATGCACTTGACATCCCGACTCCGCGCTCTTACGCGGAGGCCGTAGAGGGTCCCTACTCCTCTCAGTGGCCGGCATCTATGGATGCAAAGATGGCTTCATGGAAGTCCACAGGCACCTACGTTGACGCGGTTCCCCCACTTGGGTCGAACATCGTTAGTGGCATGTGGATCTTCAGGGTGAAGCGGCCGCTAGGTTCTCCACCTGTCTTCAAGGTGCGGTAAGTGGCTCATGGCTTTAGTAAGCGGCAAGGAGTTGACTACTTTCAGACCTTCTCTCCCACCCCGAAGATGACCACTCTTTGGGTGCTGCTGCACATAGCCGCTCAGCGTGACTACGAGCTTCACTCTCTTGACTTCAGCGCTGCTTTCTTGCAGGGTAGCCTGCCCGAGGAGATCTGGCTGCGCGGCCCACCTGGCTTCACTGGGACTTTTCCTCTTGGCACCCAGTGGAGGCTCCGGCGGCCAGTCTACGGTCTCCGCCAGGCACCACGTGAGTGGCACGACACACTGAGGACTACGCTTGCAGCTCTTGGGTTTGCTCCCTCTACTGCTGACCTGTCGCTGTTTCTGCGCACCGACACCTCTTTGCTGCCGTTCTACATCCTCGTGTACGTCGACGACTTGGTCTTTGCCACTGCTGACACTGTTGGACTCGCCCACATGAAGTCCGAGCTGCAGAAGAGACACACGTGCACAGACCTGGGTGAACTGCGCAGCTACCTTGGCTTACAGATTACCCGGGACAGAGCATGCCGCACCATTACTCTGACTTAGTCACACATGGTGGAGCAGGTCCTTCAGCGCTTCGGTTTCACGTACTCCTCGCCTCAAGCCACTCCTCTGCCTACTCGCCACTCGCTCTCAGCTCTGCCTTCGGATGAGTCCGTAGAGTCGAGTGGCCCGTACCCATAGCTTGTTGGCTGCCTCATGTACCTGATGACCTGCACACGACCTGACCTCGCATACCCTCTTAGCATTGTTGCACGCTATGTTGCTCCCGGGAGACACATACCGGAAAACATGGCTGCAGGAAAGAGGGTATTGCGCTTCGTGTGCATTACGTCGGGCATGGGGCTAGTGCTTGGAGGGTAGAGTCCAGTGGTCCTCACTGGGCACGCAGATGCTCCTTGGGCTGACGACCAGGCTACACAGCGGTCGTCACAGGGTTACACCTTCAGCCTTTGTTCCGGCTCGGTTTCGTGGTGGGCTACTTGCTCCTCTCCCGTTCTCAGCTCTAGTTGTGAGGCTGAGATCTACGCCGGAGCCATGGCTGCTCAGGAGCTTCGCTGGCTCACCTACCTGCTGACTGACCTCGGACAGCCGCCTCGTTCTCCTCCAGTGTTGTACGTAGACAACAAGGCCATGCTGACCTTGTGTTGGGAGCAGCGCCTGGAGCACAGAACGAAGTATATTGCTCTCCGCTACTTTCTTGCTTGTGAGCTGCAGTAGCGTGGTTAATTGCGACTTGCGTACGTGGCCTTTGAGGCCAACACCGCTGACCTTGCTTGTACTGTCACATATATATACTCTTGCTTGTTTAGCCTTCCATATATATATATATATATGTATATTTATATATATAAAAATATGTGCTCCTGCATGTGAACTGGCTATCTGGCCTTTGAACTTGTGCTCGCAATGTTTGATGACTTTGTGATCCACCCTGAGCTTTGCTTTGCTTTGCTTGACTGGTCTTGTGACCCCTTGTTCTTCCCCACTTTGCCTATTGGGGTGTGTCAAATTATTATGTTTTGTAGGCTGTAGTGGGGTAGCCCACATTGGGTACACATTTCTAGGGTTGCATATTTGTACCACTTTCATTCCTTAGTGCACTCATTCTCGTTTCATATTTCTCACTGCAGTCATAAATACCTTTGCTTCACGGATGCTCTAAAACTCCACCTTGTTCCTGACATGCTTTGCTGTCCATGCTATGGGCATGGAACTTTGCGGAAACTCTCTGGGGCAACACCTACTTGACATTGATGCGTGAGAAACTACATGTGTTCTACCTCGGCTTCTGGCTCTACGTGCGCGCGGCTCTGCATGGCAGTCCCGCACGTGCTGCCTTGCAGGATGAGTAAGTGCCAAATCTTATCTCACCAGACACTGCCTGCCTTAGCAATGGGTATTTGTAGGACTCAAGATGCTACGATGGTTGTGTTGTTAAGCTTGATGTCTACGCGTGCGCTTGCATCTCCGTGTGTGCAGGCGCATGAAGACGCTATACCTAGGAGCAAGGCTGGCTGGCCTCCCCATGCTTGGGACAAGCACGTACTGGTCCTCTGGGGCCAACTTCATGGCCACGGAACACACCGGGGTGATGATTTTAAACCAATCCGAATAATGCGGGGACCTATTTGCTGGGAATGGGGTTGGCTCGTGGTTGTTCTCGAAGAGCCCCTAATATTGTCACTAAACCCGAGCCTGGTCCACTGCCATGTTTTACGTACTTGGCAAGGCAGCGAGATAAGCAGACTTGCGCTTGTGGCAGTCATATCCCACTGACGCATCCCTTGACGAGTTCGATGCCGCAACACGCAGGTAAGCGATCTCATGTTCTTTGCCTGGCCAAACGTTACCAGGCATCGTTTAGTAATTAATCCTTTGATTCATTCAATCATTCCTGCCGACGTTGTCCTCTCGTCCATTCCCTCTCCTCCTCTCACCGCGCCTTCTCCTCCTCTCGTCATGCCTTCTCCTCCTCCCGCCGTGCCTTCCCCTCCTCTTACCATGCCTTCTCCTCCTGCCATGCCTTCTCCTCCTCCCGCTATCCCCTCTTGAGGCCTCACCACGCCTTCTCCTCCTCCCGCCATGCCCTCTCCTCCTCAGCCCATGCCTTCTCCTCCTCCCATCATGCCTTCTCCTCCTCCAGCTGCTTGCCTTCTCCTCCCGAGCACCAGAGGACGACTAAAAAGCCACCTTTCTGTGTATTTGTGAGGATTTCAGGATGGTGGCGCTAGTAGAAGCACGTTTCCGCACACCAACAGCTGTGGATGGAACTTGATCAAGGTCCAGGAGCTGCTGCACCTGGCCAAGGCCATCAAGTGGGCTGGTTTTCCGCGCGAGTTCTTGGTAGCGGTCTACAAGAACGCGCACATCCGGACATGCAAGATTCCCTACAGGGTCTTGAACCACCGTCAGCATGGCGGACAGATCGTGAGACGCAATGCCACGGCGGCGATGCTGACCACACTACCCAGCAGCATTTCCCCGGTGGGCCATTATAACACAGCCCTGCGACAATCCGAGCACAAGAGAAAGGCCAAAAGGCCAGTTCACATGCAAGATCATCTGTCAGCTATAGTGTGAGAGTACGACAGCTTATGCCAGCTATGCTTGCTTGCCTCTACTTTATTATGCTATTTCTAGCATAGGATAATCATATGCATGCATGAATTGCTTGATTTCCTAGGCTAGGTGCTTTCCTATATTTTATTATAGTTATAGCACCGAGCTAGGTTACGTGCACCGAATTCTGGCCTTTCGGTTGCCACCGAATTGCCTTCTACCGAATTCCGTAAGGGTCTGTTCGGGACGCTACGCGACCCGCGGAACCTTCGCGTAACACCTGGTTACGGGGCCTTGTGTCGAGTCTATATATAGCCTCCTGTTGTACCCAGATGATCATTCAATCATTCAATTCAATTTCATTCTC